CTTAAGGTTAAAGATATATATTTATATATTTATTTAATCTTTAACAAAGTTTATAGCCTTTTAAGAAAGAGTGTATAGCTTAAATAGATTAATTAGTATTTAGAAGGTTATTAAGTTTTTACTCTTTATATCTAGAGTAATTTAATTATATCTAGAAAAGAAGTTAAGAACTAAAAGAATCTAATATATTCTAAATTTAACAGAGAAATCTTTAATTTTAAAAGGAATTATTATATTTCTAATAATATAGATATTATACCTTTTAGCTAAGTTAATAAGGTGTAGGCCTTTATTTTTCTTAGCTATAAGTATCTACTAATTTCTATAGAAAGTATAACCTTCTTTAATAATCTTATTTTTTAGCCTTTTCTTTAATAGCTTAATAATTTTAAGCTTAGTATTATAGAGAGTAATTATATTTCTATATTACTAGGCTATATAGAATATAATTTTAATAACTTATAGAAGAGTAATTTTAAAATTAAGTTCTCTTTTTTTTTAAAAAAAATCTAGGTTAGGGCTTTTTCTTAATTAAAAATAATCTAATAGAAGATTTCTTTTTTAATATTATTAAGAATATTCTTAATCTATTTTATTAGAGCTTTTAACTTTTTATTAAAAAGCCTTAATTTCTTTTTAATTTCTAAGAATTTAAGAGTAATATAATTAGAAAAGAGAAAGTTCTTTTTTAGGTTCTTTTTAATCTTATTTTACTTCTTATTATACTAAAATAAGTTTTCTTTAAATATAGATTTATTAAAAGAGATATTATCTTTAAGTTAGATTTTATCTACTTTTTTTTTATATATAATATTAATTTAGATTGTTATATTCTCTTAGCTGCTATTTAAAGTATAAGTTTTTTTAACTCTAGATTATATTAAATTATTCTTTTTATTTAATCTTTAAGAATAATCTTATAAACTTTTTATACTATCTTTTTATTAATATATTTAATAAGATACTTAATATTATTCTTCTTTAAATTATAGATATTATTAATAGCTAGTTTAAAGGGCTTTAATATACTTATAATAACTCCCTTAATATTACTTTATTAGTAACTAAGTTAACTCTTTATATTCTACTAGTAATAAAAGATATTAAATTAATAATTTCTAACTTATAGCTTATTAATATCTTTTTAAAGATAGTATTATAATTAAAGGTAACTTTTATAATTTAAATAAAAAGTATTTTTAAAATAAAAGAAATAAAAATAGCTAAAGTAAGAGCTATATATATCTTTTATTTAATAAAGATATTACTTTAGCAGCAGGAAGGGATGGAAAACAACACCCAACTCATTAACTTACCCTAGGGGAAATACATAGAGAGTCGTTGCATAGGCGTCTTAGCCGGTCAGCTCGAAGCTGCACCAGATTACGCGTATGAGGTCGGATCAATCTGAGGCTTATATCTCCTGATAGGGAAGCATCTCATAAGATAGAATATCGGGTCGGTCGCAGGAAAGTTCGCTGGCAAGGCATCAATAGGGCCTGCGGCAGCCCGATATCTGAGGGAGGTTGAAGACGGAGGTTGGATAGGGAATGTAGTGATGGCAAGAAGGCTTAAATAAATCTCTCAAAAATGAAGGCAATTAATTAATAGACTTCCTAGCAGCCTTGAGCCCTTCTGGCCTCTTTGACTTCTAGGAAGAATCTCTGATGAAAGGAAAAATGATGATTTCCCCTAGTGATGGCACTGACCTCCCCTTTTAACTCCATCTGGGTTACTCTAGAGATATCCCTGCTAGCGACTAGCTAGCCCAAGTATCCCTAACTGCCTGTTACATCCCTCCCCTGCGATCTGATAATTGTTCCTAATTAGGCTAGGAATGCGTATAATATAATAGCCTCCCCATTTAAGATTCCGACTAAAGAAATATAGCAAATATTAGAGAAGCATCTTATTAGAAGCTTCTAAAGATTAACTTTCTCTATTGAGGGCGACTCCCTTTACTATGAGCTTCCCTATCTATTACCATTCCAATCTACTAGAGAAAGTAGAATAGCATACCAAATAACCATTACTTGCAAGTCTTATGCTAATGTAACGTTCCTCCCGACTGATCTTTATAATAGCGGGAGGGATGATATCTGTGTAGGCGGTGTTAATTAGCTCCTCCTACTAGGAAAGAGAAATTAGACCTTCCGGGATATAAGTTGCATAGAACTTGGACTTGGGCATAAATAGCATAAGTTATTTGAAAATACAAGGAAGATTCATTTAGTTAGTATTGATAATTATCTTCTTTGTACCCTTACTGATAGAGATGTTATTATACTTGCTTTGTCCTTTAAGAATAATATTATTATTAAAGTAGCAAAGGACGGCTCTATTAATAAATTGGATAGCAGAAATAGTTGGGGTCCTATAGGATCTAGCAGCTTGATAATGTAGTGGGCTGGGCAATAGATCCTTATTAAGATGTTACTCCTAGTGGATATTCTATGAATGTCTCTCATTGATACATCCAACCCAGTAGGCTAATAAGGACTTAAGCTTCGGATATCCCTCTTAATTTGGGATACTACTGGCAACTTTAAAGGTGGCGATAGCAAGGCCCTAATATCCCTGATCTCTTCTATTAGGAAAGATACTACTCCTCTCCTTATCCCTTCAGAACGTCCAGAGGGCCTAGAAGAAGAGGAAGTTCTGCTAAATATTATTTCTATCTTCTTGATACCCCCAGAGGGTATTATAGGTATAGTCTTAGATGTAGGCTTAGGAGCTATTGGCGATTTCTCTAGGATAGTCGAGCTCAGAGAGATAATACTCCCTTCTATAGTCCCAGGTAGCTTAGGGATCCCCTTCTAAACCTCAAATCCTCTCTCCTTAAATATCTTAATAAGGTTGTCGGCTATAGTAAAGTTGACCTTTTAGTAGTCTGATCTATATATTATTATAGAGCGGAACATCTAACTAAAAGGGACAGCAGGATGAGGGATAATTTGATAGGCATCGGGGAGCTTCTTGAGGTTAAGACTCTTCTAGCTGACTGGAGAGAACCCACTAAAGTTGGTGTAGAAATTTAATATCCTGAGTTTCTAGTTAGTAGTCATAAACCTATACTTATAGTTGTAAAAGAGGTTGATTTTTCGGCAGACCTCGTCTATACCCTCGCTATACATCAGGTCCCGGATCCCAAGCTCCTCTATGATGGCGTACCCAATAAAGCTTTTGATGCGCTCTAGATCCAAGTCCTGGTCTATAGTCTCCTTCTTCTTGGCGGCTTTCCTCTTCTTCTTTGGCTGGGGCGGGGGCTTTGGCTTGACGGCGCCGAGCTTCTAGTTGTAAAATCGTAGCTTAAAAGGGATACTTGCCGGCTTGTCATTTAGGTTGTTGAAGACTAGTCTCTCCATTGGGATCCCTTCCTGTATCTACTACTTATCTAGGCTAATTATATTATAAATAGTTAAAATTATGAGGAAGACTGTAAGAAAGCTATACTTTTAACTGTAGGACTGGGTAGAGGCTGGTATACTGTAGATAGAGAAGTTGAATGGGGTATTATTGATAGTTATAATCTCCCTCTAGGCAACCCTAGCAGCCCTGAATTATTTCTTTCTTTAAAAGTCCATTGTATTGAAGAGGGAGAGTTGCTTTGCCCTAGCATTCTAGATGTAGCCAATTTAATGATGTTTATTAGCAAAGTTAATGATGCCAATAAGGTAGCTGCGGTTGAATATAGTCTCTTAAATTAGTTGGAAGCTTACTGTAGGATGGTTTTTTGTAACTAGAATGCCTTCTTTTAGGAGCTTGGTCGAGAAGGTCTCTTGTTGGCTCGGAGGATATGGGTTTCGAGGTTAAGGCTAAAAGGTGCAACAGCTATAACATCTCTTATTCTGTAGATTATAATTTATAGGAAAGTAATAAGATTAAAGTTAGTAGAGAGATCTTCATATTAAAGCTTATACTAAAGGCCCTAGAGATTGCTATAGTAACCTTCCTAAGTCCTAAAATTAATTTTATTAAAGTCGGGGTGCAGTCTAATAGTCTTAGCCTAAGTTTTAATTGATTTCTTATCCCCTAGGATAGGGCATTTAGTCTTTTCCTCGTTCTAATAAGACCAATCTAGGCGGGAAGGATAGAAGGTTGGTTGTTAGCCGACTTTTTCAGTTAGCGATATCTTTGTAAGGTTCTCTTTGTAGTAGAGGAAGCTTTCTTTTCTACCTTCTTCTTGGATAGTTCCTTCGTAGAGAGTTAGTAATTTTATACTGCAGTAGAATTACGCCTTCTTCTTTATAGCCTCGTTGGAGGTGGCTATTGCGTGCTGAGTTTCATGGTGTAGCAATAGATTTGAAAGTTAGTTGGTAGGAAGAAAAGCAATTAATAAGATGGTAGTTGAGGTTTGGGCTTGATAGGAAAAGAATTGTAGCTTGGAGGCGCGAGTTATAATGTTGATTTCTATAGTAGCTGGAGTGCGAGAAGAGTATGTAGGTATTGGTGTTTTTGAGAGACTGAGTGTTTGAGGGTCTTTTATGCTATAGGGCTTGGTTCTTTTTGTGATGGTGAATTACAGAGATAGTAGTTGTTATTTTCCAGATCTTTTTATTGATTTTCCTTTATAAGTTATGGCAAATAAGGATATCTACTTCTTATAATTCTTGTACTTTATAATAAAGCCCTGCTAGATTAGCTTTAAGGTAGGGTTCTTTAAGCTTAAAGCCTCTTTTTCTTCTATATTACCAATATCAGGATTTTAGCCTTATCTTGCTGCAGACTTCCCTTCTTTTTCTATTATTGCGATATTGGGATAGCTTTTGCAATGGCATCTCTTCAAGACAAGCTGATTATTCTTTCCGGCCTCCCTCGAAAGAAGCTTTCTAATATTCATCATCTAGCTGAGTGTAGAGTCAAGGCCGATGAGTTCTTATGACGGTCTAGTACCTTTTAGAAGGGTCGAGATGCTATTCTCCTTTGCCCCTTTTCTTTGTTAAAGCTTAATTTAATTCTAGCCTTAGTAAGGTCTTTTATCTCCCTTCTATTAGTTTAGGTTATCTAATGAGATGCTTTTCCAGGTCCTAAAGTTATTCTGGGTTTGGATTTGTAGTTTCTGGGCCCTCAACCGACTAGGCCGCCCTTTGTATGTTGAGTTGGATATTCAATTTCCTGCTACCAGCTCTAGAGAGGCCTTCCTCGTCTGGTTCCTCAAGCAGCTTCCTTTTCGAGACTCGTTCATTACAGTAAGGATAGGACTTTTAGCTACCTGTACTTTCTAGTAGGTCTTTATCCTAGTAGACTGGGCTTATCTTAGAGGGTACTTCTTTATGAATCTTCCTTCCTACCTATATCTTATTAAGGCCCTTATTGTTGTCTTTGTCGGGGTTATCAATCTGGTTATATGTTGCTATTGTATCTATAGCTATCTCTTGATAACTACCCGCTTCAACGAATATATTCTGACCCCTTTTTATGCTTGTACTTCGGCCCCGGGATATATAAATGGGGTGTATGCTAATTGCCTTTGGTATAACCGGACTAATTGCAACTGGAAATGCCTCTATAGGTATATAGCTTTAGGTCGTTAAGAAGATTCTTGGAAATTTCCTCTTGGTGGTCGAGCTATAAATCTGAATATGTTAACTTCTTATACTTTTAATATCTTTAACCCTCGTTCTTGCCCTTAGATTATTGGCGAATATCCCTTTAAGGCTGGTAGTGTATCTGACCTTAAGATTTATTGTTGGGCTTTCTAGGTTTTTACTTAGGCTTTTTGTAATGGGTACTGGGCTCTTTAGTTGGTTTTAATGGGTTTCTTTTTCTATTAAAGGAAAAGAAAAAAAAATAGTTTTTTTTTTTATTCTTGTAGAATAGATAGTTAATAGTAAATACCTAGGGAATGATATTACTACTTAGTTAGTACTATCTTTATTTCTTTTAAATAGATTTCTTTTATACTATTTCTTTTTATTATAAGGTATTATTTATAGCAGCTAGATTCTTTTTAGGTAGTTATTTTATTGGGTCTTAGCTATTTAGACTCTTTATATTTAAGTCTCTCTAGTAACTCTATATCTTGCCTTTTCTATCTACCTTTCTATATAGTAATACTGCTATCCCTAGTTAAAGCTATATTCCTAAATATCTAATGAGATATTCTAGATTGCTTTATATTAATTTCTAGCCTTTTTACTTATCTTTAAAATATAAACCTAGAAGTCCCCTCTAAGTCCCCTCTATAAATAAAGAATAGGTATAGAATAGGCCTTATCTAATAAATTCTCTATCTTACTGGGTTGATATATCTTATTATAAGATAGTTCTTCCTTAGATTCTTCGTCCTTATCTTTAGTAGGAGGTCCCCAAACCTCTATATTATTAGGGCTGGCCCACTACCCTTAATTATTCTTTATAAAGGCCTTAATCCGGTCTCTATAGCAGGTTCCAGCCATCTTTATACCATCTAGGGTCTTAAGGATATAGGTTCTAATCTCCGCTAAAGCTTCTCGAATTCTATAGAATCCTTGCTATTTTGGCTTGAGCTTGGCTGCAGTAGAAAGATTATGGTAGTTTTTGATATTGTAGAGAAGGATAAGGTCCCCTAGTAATAGTAGCTTTTTCCTCAGCTTGAAGGTATTAGAAGTAGTTGTTTTTCTCGCTAGGTTCTTCCAATATTTCTTAACCTTCTATTTAGTAGCTTCCCAATCTTCTTATTATCTTTCTAGGATCCGGATTCGAGCTAAGATAATATCTTCCCTGATATGAACCTCATCCCAATTAATAAGTCTCTAGGTTGGGACTTTAACTTCTATAGGGAGGATAGATTCCTATCTATAAAGGAGCTAAAAGAGTAAGCATCTATGGAATTTATGGATTGTAGACCTATCTACAAATAGAGTTTAGTCTACCAACTCAACCTACTTCTCTAGCTGGCTGAGCTTTTTAAAATAGTTAATTAAGGATATATAATTAACTTTAATTAGCCTATTTGACTTGGAATTGTAGAAGGAGATCTTAGTTATTATGATATCTAGGTTGTCTAGCTTATTAGGGATTTCTTTTACTAGCTTACTTTTATTATTAGTAACAATCTTTATAGATATACTATAGCAATAGAGGATCCTTCTAATAAACTTCTGGATATTTACTGTATTTAGGGTCTTATAAGGTATAGCTTTAATCCATTTTATTAGATTGTATCTAGCTTTTAATAGAAACTTCATCTTATTATTATTAGGAAGATATTATTTATTAATATGGATCTTTATTATAGAATACTAAGGAGTAGTAAGCTTAGCAATTTCTACTGGTCTCTGGGTAGCATGAACCTAATAAATTAGATAAGTCTTGATAATTAACTTTATTTTGCGTTTGATGCCTTGCTAGAAATAGTAGCGGGAAACGATATAGATGGTTGCCTCTCTGCCTTTATGACCTCTATGATGGTAGGAGGTTATAATGAGATGCTTTTAAAGCTTCTTATTATTAATAATAAGTGTAGGGTTGTCTTCTAGGCTTAGTGCTTGTCTCTAGATGTGACCTCCGTGGATATAGAATTGTATTGCCTTTTTTCTTAGTTGCGAGAAGTTTCTTGCTGAGAGTCCCTCCGGCTGCTTTAGGGAAGTTAAATAGTTCTCTAGGACTAGCTATTTATCTGTATAGCTATCTTCTAGTTTCTTATCTTCAGGGCCAAAAAGAATAAGGTTAAGGCGGGTGTTGATCTTATCCTTAATGTTGCCTTTAGCTTCTTGGTCTAGAAGGTTAGAAGGTCCCTCTTCTTTTCTTGAAAGATTGTTGGCTACTGTATTCTTCTTTTCTAGAACGTATCTAATAGTAAAGTTAAAGAGTAAGAGGTAGCTAATTTAGTGGACGACTATTAATCCTGGTATATCGTCGGCTCTATTGTTGATCTGATCGATAAGGACTCTTAAGTTGGTTTCTAAAGTAAAGGGATATCTATAGATCTGCATTCTTATGCATCTAATAGTATAAAGAGCTTCCTTGTACTCTAGCTTTGTTGTATTATATCTCTTCTTAGTATCTAATTAGGTACTAGATTTAAATCTTATAGGGTAATGTTTTTTATTTATTATTTGTATTAGGATAGCTCTCTAATCTAGGATGCTGGTATTAATTATTAGAATAATCTCTCTAGCTTCTTTAGATAGGTTGAGAGAGATAAGGATAAGAGCTGTAATAATCCTCTTCTTTAATATTCTTATTACTTCCTTCTTATTATCTTCCTACTTCTAGAAGATATTCTTCTTTAGTAGCTTGGTAAGGGGCTTAGCAATCTAAGTATACTTTTCGATTTAGATTCTATAGTATCCTGAGATGCCTAGGAAGGCTCTGACTTCAGTCTGGTTAAAGTAATCTTCCTATTTAACGATCTTTAGGATCTTATTCTCTATGGGCTTGTAATTATAAGTCCCATAAAGATATCCTACTAAAGAAGCGGCCTTTTAGTAGAAGAATGACTTTTTTATGGTAATTAAATAGCCTAAAAGCTTTATATTAACTAGAATAGTATTGAGGTTTATTAGGTGCTTTAGAATATACTATTTAATACTAGAAAGGGACTCCTCCCCTTTATAGTCCTTAATAGGGCCCTTGATACTAATATTATCTAGAAAAGCTCTAGCTATATTAGGTATTAAATTAAAAAGAATCCTTGTTATAATTCTAGTAAATTGGGCTACTGAGTTTGTAGCTTCTTGAGGGAGGGTATATAGCTTGAATAGATTAATTGGCATTTAAAAGGTCGTTAAGTCCCTGCTTTTTATATCTAGGGCGATCTAATTGTATTTAGAAAAGAAGTTAAGGACTAAAAGGATTTAATATATCCCAAATTCAGTAAAGAAGTCTTCAGTTCCAGGAGGAATTATTCTATCTCTAATAGTATAGGTATTATACCTCTTGGCTAAGTTAATAAGATGCAAACTTCTATCTTTTTTAGCTACAAGCATCTACTAGTTTTTATAAAAAGTATAACTTTCTTTAATAATCTTATTCTTTAGTCTTTCCTTTAGTAGCTTAATGACCTTAGCTTTAGTTTTATAAGGGATAATTATATTGCTATACTACTAGGCTATATAAGGTGTGATTTTAATGACCTGTAGGGGAGCGATTCTAGGGTTAAGTTCTCTCTTTTTCTTAAAAGTCCAAGCTAAAGCTTCTTTCCAATTAAAAATAATTTAATAGAAGATTTCCCTCTTAGCATTATTAAGGGTATTCTTAGTCTGCCCTATTAGAGTATTTAATTTCTTGCTGAAGAGCCTTAATTTCTTCTTAATCTTTAAGAATTTGGGAGTAATATAGTTAGAAAAAGGGAAGTTTTTTTTTAAGTTTTCTTTAATCTTATTCTATTTCTTATCGTGCTAGAACAAGTCCCCTTTGGGCGTAGATTTATTAAAAGGGATGTTATTTCTAGGCTGGACCTTATTAGCCTTTCTTTTATATATAATATTAACCTAGACTATTATATCCTCTTAGTTGCTATCTAGAGTATGAGTTTTCTTAATTTTAGATTGCGTCGGATCGTTTTCCTTTATTTAGTCTTTAAGAATAATCTTAAAGACTTTTTATGCTATCTTTTTATTGATGTATCTAATAAGATACTTGATATCATCCTCCTTTAAATTGTAGATATTATTAATAGCCAGTTTAGAGAGTTTTGGTATGCTTATAATAACCCCCTTGATGTTACTTTATTAGTAATTAAATTAACTCTTTATATTCTGCTTGTAACTAAAGATATTAAGTTGATAGTTTCTAGCTTATAGCTTATTAATATCTTTCTAGGAATAGTATTATAGTTAAAGGTAACCTTTACATTTTAAAAGAAAGGCATCTCTAGGATGAAGGGGATAGAAACTACTAATGTAGGGGCTATATATATTTTCTATTCTATAAAGATGTTGCCTATATAGATATTAGTGGTAATAATTCCAGCTATTAGAATTAAGTCTTTTAAGAAGGATATAATCTTAGCTAAGCTAGATATAAATGGGAGCCGGCTGGTCTTGACAATATAATCTAAGATAATATTACCTTTAGCATTTATATCTAGAATAGCTTTCTAGATATAACTATTAAGATGTCTAAGTCTTACTTAAAGCCTCGGGAGGTCTTAGTATATTAACTATAGCTATATATTAATATTTTAAATGAGGTTTATAAAAGCCTTTATTATTATCTCATTAGGTACTTTGCAATTAGACTTCCTTAATTTCTTCTTATAGAAGATCTTTTTTGTAGTTTTATTGTTTATTATAATATAGTCTCCTAGAATAAGAATAAAATCACTTTAGGAAGTTAGAGGGTCTTTTTCCTAGCTAATTACAACTATAAGAATTCTGCATTGCCGAGCTAAATTATTAAAGTAAATCTTAGAAAATGGCGGGCCGTCCTGTGTTATAAGCTCTGGCTTTTTCTGTTTCTTGAGAATGTTTATTTTGATATTTTCTGGCAGTCTTTTTTTATAGGAAGGAGCAGGGTCTAGCTAGATAGTATTGGTAATGCCATTAGCTATATCGACTAATTTCTTTGTTATTGAATAGTTAAATTCCAAGTTGTAATGAATTATTTG